TACTATCAAGAAGGTTTAATGTCTTGTTTGTATTTGCACAATGTGAATGAGGGTTTATTGTCAAAATATATACAGGTGCTTGTATGCCTATTGAAACTATACAAAATTCGACCAATGTACATCTGTTTCATGTGTTAAAAGAACGTTGCGATATTCTCATGGAATTGTTAAAGGGCGGCAGTCGTCGTGCCGCGTCCTGTTCGATATGGGACATATAGCGACGTATACAACGCGTGTAAAATACATTGTTTATTTACATGAAATTCGAACACGCGCTGCGCGACGACCACCGCGCTTTAAATCTTGGTATCATTTCCAACTGTTACCAAACTGTACGTTTTGACGACTCGTATGTACTTCTGGGACTTGTAATAATTTTCTGGGAACTGTACAGCAAATCGCATATTTTCCTTATTAGTATTTCATAGTTTTTCTAAATTTCAGTTTTTATTGTTCATAATTATTCACAGTAATAACATATTTTTCCGATTGTGTGCATGACAGCTTTGCCCACACACAATAAGACAGAATGATATGTACGGATATGTGTGAGTATGTTTCATAGGCCACTCCTTTGCTTCAATTCCAACTACATCTCTGGAAATATCACTTGCTGTTTATCATCCATATTGTGATATCCCACAATGTGTCGATTGCGTATCTGGAAACTACTATTTCGCAAAATTTGACCAGCCTTGCTTCTACCAGTCATTTAAGTCAACTCCCATATTGTCCTTCACAGTGAAGGTTAATGCAGATATATTGTAAATTACACAGAGGTAACACTACAATACATTTCCCTTCACATTCCCTTGTATTACATAACAATTTTTGAGCTGAGGCAGTTATGGTTCTACAACCATCACCAATTCTCTTGTTATCGTTGTATTATGCTATGTACCGTGAAACAGTGGCGGCGGACCGGAAAAAAAATTTGCGTCGCCCCCATATCAAGCTGAAACTCTAAATTTCAGATCTCGCCCCCGCATATAAAAATCAACTTGTCCATACACTTAAATTTCACCACTGTCTAGTGGCCATTTCTCATGGAATATAGTATGACCACGAATTTAATTTACACCAAAACTAAACATGTTACCAATGCATTCCGACACAATATATATATAAATTGATGAGTTAAGATATTAAGATATTCCTTAATTGAAAGTAAATTAAAAATATGTATTCAAAAAACTACAGTTGTTCCCTCCGCGAATTTATGATGGCTGCCTGTCACGTGTATGTCTTATGCAAAAATGTTGTTTGTTCGAATATGGTCAATAGAGAACGGTCTTCTTTGGAGAGGCTATTCGGTTAAATCATGTTTCTCCTAAATCGTACAACATACGAGAAGACAAAACAAAACAAGGACAACTATTTGAATTTTGTACATTCACAATATTTAATGAGCAATGTATAACTACAAATTATTATTATCGCAATGAAATGCAAAGTTAATGAACTTAGCGTTCCAATTACGTACTATAAATGACTACATTACACTTTACCACATTGTTTGACCTATTTCTCTATAGACTACTTGGTCTCACAACTGTGTATGATACAGTCCGCCACCAGCGACGAGATCGTGTCAATGGCGATATCATTCCAATGGCGCTGCAATGAATAGAGATTGATATACGATTATAAGTTGTTATAAATTCTGTGAAGTGTAGAATGATACACATTTAAAAAAAAAACATTTCTATAGATTTTCTGAACAGAGCTGTCACAAACTAACATCCGTCTGCGCCGGAATATCAGACAGCGCCATCTATGGCATACTTACCACATGCTATGAGTGTACACATCTCCCGTCCATCACTGCAAGAGCTAAAAATGAAAATAATATTGTATAATTATAAATCATTTTACAGATACTCTCGACTAAAAAAACAAATATTTATGTTTATTTTAACTTCATGCCACACATTTATCACGCATGACTGTAAATTTAAGTTCAGGGTATATAAAGTTGTCATCAACTATATTGCCGGGCTGGGTAACTTAATTCTTATTTTTTTTACAGACCACGTATTCTATTAAGTTGATTTATTGGCGAGTAAATACATCAGCACCTCAATCTTACCAAGTGTTGCAACCATCGTCTGAGGGGTAAGTTGAACCATCTGGATGGCCATTGCAATCAGCTCCTAGAAACAGAGGAGACACTAGTTGAAAATTCGAATGTAGACTATAAGATAAGTCACAGAAAAGGGAAAACTTTCAAATGAAAACCAATTGTATTACTGTCGGGGGGTTGAACCAACTTAACGTGCCCCCTGATCACGTGTGTCGACTCAACCTTCAAACCATTTAATAAGTATATATCACACAGCAGTAGAACCAAGTTGTACTGTCTAAATATTCAATGTATGTGATTCCCATATCTTAGTTAATAGATTAACGCGTTTTCTATATTTTTAATTTAACCGTAACTGTGTTTTGTAGTAATGAAAAAAGAAGTACCCGGAATTGGTTCCTGACAAGTGTGACCACATCCATTACTGCAACACTTTTCGGCCCCATCACAGCTAGCATCAGTACTACACAGTTCAGCGCATATTCCAACATCTGTGCCAACCGCGGGACATTGACCAAGCTTTTCAACTGTTAACATAACAAGTAATATGAAATGAACTAGTCCTAAGAATGTGTTATCATATTAGCTAGTACCTCTAATTGGTGTGATTAAATATGCATGACAACTTTTATGTATGTGATTCACCTTATTTCTATTATTTTATTACAGAATGGCTATCCAGGAATTCTGATGAAAATGATGGATCATCGGAAAGTCCAATCAAAAAAGGGGTCCAACATTACTGTTATGACCTTCAGGAAGTGGTATCAAACAAATTTGTGTATTGTGCAATTCCAAGGAAATATTGTGGCTTCAAGTAACGCTTTTGCTTGGTCCACCTTATATACAATTATTATACATCTGTCATCGTAACGCCATAAGTTACAGCGTACCGTAATTTTGCGGTATTTTACGTGGTGTTTTCATACTACCATATTAGGAAATGCGAATTCCAAATATGGAATAATTATGCGCGTAAGCGTCCTATAATAATAAAAACAAACATGGCTGCCACCAGGATTTGACCGGACTCCATACAAAGAAGTTCGCTGATTCTGTTCTAATTTTTTTGGATTTCGGCATTCCCATGATGTATCCTTGGTAGGAAAAGATGTATAATAATAAGGTCATTACGAAGATACCTCAAAGTA